GGCATATCTGTTACATATCCCATTCCTCCCAAAATTTGAATACATTGATGCGTACAAAATGTCGCGGCTTCTGATGCTGATAATTTTGCCATTGCGGCTTCCTATATTTAAATATAAAAATTTGAAATATTTTTAATAACCAATAGTTATTTAATTCTTGTAAGTTTTTACATAATATAATAATTTTTTAAATAAAATTAAATATTTGATAAAAAATACTACTAGTAATACTACTTCTAACAAAAATAAAATTGAACTTCTACTTGATTGTTGGAAAAATATTACTTAAAAATTAAGAAAACTATAATTATACAAAATAATAAGCATTAATAATATTTATATTTCCAATTAAATGTGCTCGGTATTGTCTATATAAAATTTAAAGGGACTTTCATTCATAAGATAAAAAGATCAATTTTCGAATTTAAGCTCCTTTAATTCATACAAATTTTTACCTTTGTATATGGCTTTTTTTTGCCTTTCAAATATGCAGCTCTCCATGTTAATAATCTAGAACTCTCAAGTTTCAGAGCCATATCTGCCAACTTAAGTTGAATGGCTTGTAATTTTATAATTGCATTACCAAATGCTGTTCTCTTACTGGCATATTCCATTGCACAGTCAAGAGAAGCTTGTGCTATACCTAATGCTTGAGATGCTATTCCAATTCTGCCAGCATCTAAAAATGAAATGAGATTTATTTGTTAAATTATATTGTTTAACTTTTATTTGAAAGTTTATAACCTAAGTTTTATTGGATTTGCAAAACATGTTAATGAAAATTTTGAACATTAACTGCAGTTGTTAATATCAAATTATGAATATAATTAATTACTATGTTTTCAAATAAATTTATATTTTAAAACTGCACTCATTATTAAAAATAAGCAAATCATTTTTATATACCTAATGTCATCATAGCAATTTTAAAGCCCATTCCAGGTTTTCCTAAGATATTTTCTGCTGCTATTGAGCAATCTTCAAATATTAAAGAACATGTGCTACTTCCTCTAATACCCAATTTATCTTCCTTCTTACCTACAGATAATCCTTCTCTTGGTTTATCAACTATAAAAGCACTAATACCTTTATGTTTCTTTAATTTATCTGTGGTAGCAAATGCTATAATACCTTTTGCTTCAAAAGCATTGGTTATCCAACACTTTGTACCATTAAGAATATATTTATCACCATCTGATTTAGCCATTGTTGACGCAGCACCAGCATCTGAACCATTACTAGGTTCACTAAGTGCAAAACAACCAATATTGTCTCCAGTTGTAAATGGTCTTACATAGTTTTCCTTTTGGTTATCACTTCCAAATTCTGCTAATGGTCCTAAATAAAGTGAATTATTTACACTCATAATTACACCACAACTAGCACATCCTCTAGAAATCTCTTCCATTGCAATAGCATATGCAATGTAATCAAGTCCACTTCCACCCAATGACTCAGGTATTGTTATTGCAAATAATCCAAGATCACCCATTTTTTTTATTTGTTCTTTAGGGAACAAATGTTCTCTATCAATTTTAGCAGCTATTGGCTTTAATTCTCCTTCAGCAAAATCTCTTAAATAAATAAATAAATATGATTCATATAGAATTAATTATAATACATTTTATATTCATAATTACCAAATTAACAATATATATATATATATATTTATTTATTTATTTATTTACCATTAATTATATTATTCTATAATATATGATACATTATTATATGTTTTATATAAATCTTAAATTATAATTTAAAATAAAATCGATACCTGCACGTTTTCTGTAACATTTTATGAGCCTCTGATAAAGCCGAAATAGATGATATATTTCTACGGCCATATATCTGAATAATTGATTTGCAAGAACCTAAACAAATTATTATATAAAAATATTTTCTGTAATATATAAAATTTACAGTTTTAATTTTTTTAAAATAATTCATAGTCTCCAATATAAAATTAATAATTTAAAAAAATTATCTTAATAGAATCATTGCTCTTAGTAAAAATGTATAAATTAAATTATAAAAATATATAAATTAAATATAAAAAAAAAAAACATAATGTATAAAAATAAATCTATAGCCTTATTAATTCTATTTTCTATACTTTTAAAAAGATAATGAATTGATTATTCGCACTTATAACTAATATATATTTATTTAAATTTTTTTATATTAATCACATATGTTTGATATAATACTGTTTATTGTTGGAAAATATAATTTTTTATTTAATTTTATATTGATGGTGGATTCTTACCTAGCATTTTAAAAACGTCTTTATACAAATTAATTAAAGTGATACGTAATACTAAAATGAGCAATATCGCAAGAACTTTGACCAGTTACAATATTAACAATATAGTGTACGATAATTTCAAACAACATTCTTGTATAAGTATTGAGCACTTTCTTGGGTAAGTTGGTAATAATTTAATTATAATAAATGGTTATGTAAATGCCAATTAATTTGCAACATTTTTTTTTTTAATTATGCTACATTATAAATGGTTATATAAAATTTTTAATCTAAATAAATAAAACGATTCTAATATAATGAATTCGGCGAACTGTGCATTTACGAGGAATTATTTAAAATTTATATGTTCGTAAGCATGAACTCATTCGCTGCATATAGAGACGTTTATATCCTTACACATTTGCAGATTATCCGTAAGCATCTATAAATTAGATAATGAGAAATATGGAACGTAACTTTAAGAATATGTATGTTTAAATAAATAAGATAACCATATTCTAAAATAAATATTTTTTATTTTTTCTTAATTTTCAATCTATCATGGCTTTAAATTCGAATATCGTAAA